CCTGCCCCAGCTCCATCTCCAGGTTGTGCAGCTCCTGCGAGGGGACAGAGGCATCAGGAGGGGACAAGACCCCCTGAGACAGGGGCATCAGTCCCAGGGGCTCAGCCCACTGTAACCCTGCGCCAGCCCCGTCCCACCGCGTGTGTGGGGCAGTGTCCCACCCGTGGGGACGCCATGGGGAGCCCATGCCAGGGCCAAACCCCGAAGTGACGCGTGGAGGATGCCACCGGCCGCACTCACCTCCAGCAGCTTGGAGATGGCGTCGGGCTCCACGCGGCTGCGGTTGTCGTAGCACGGCCAGATGATCCTGCGCTTGGACTGGGGAGCGCTGGTGTCCTGCCGATCCGCCTCCTCCACGGGCTCCAGCTGCCCCTGCACCAGCTCCCAGTCGTACGAGGGACCCTCCGACAGCGTCTCCTCCGTGTAGTAGTCCCAGACCTTCAGGTTGGAGATGTTGCTGTACGGCCTCAGCACCTGCGGAAGGAGCAGGATTACACTCCGGAAGGGTGGCAGTGTCCCGGCAGGACACATCCCCGGCTGTGCCGCGGGGACAATCTGTCCGGGGGGGAAATCGGTCCCTTCCCAACGAGCTTTCCCCCAGGGAGATCCCGGACAAAAGCAGAGCTCTGAGGAGCTCAGCTGCGTTGGCACGGAGCAGCCCGGCACTGCTGACACCTCTTCCCAAGGAAGGACGTGCCCAGAGCCCAGAACGAGCCTCCGGCAGCTCCAGCTCAGGGTCTCCCCTCTGGATCCCCAGGATTGCTCTTGGCTTCGGTCCCTGTTGGGGTGTCAGACCTGGAGCCAGGCCAAGGAAACCCGGGATGCTCCGGTCTGTCCTTTATTGCTCATGGCTTCTCCTGGCAGCTCGTTAAAGAATAAAAGAAAATAACTAACCCTCCCCACCACGGCCAATCCAGGTTACGGCACTAGTGAAGTTCCTGCACTAGAAGAAATCCATTTGGGGAGCGAGGGTTGCATGAGCTGAGGAGAGGAAGGTCCCTCGTGGGTTCTGTGCCCTCAGACCCAGGGGGTCATTTACAGAGTCCCTGTGTATCGCTTCCAGCACCTGGACTGCAGAGAATCCTCCAGTCCCTCCAAAGTCCCTCTCCCCCAGTTCCAGCCCAAGAGGAGGGGTCCTGATCCTGGTTTGATGCCACCCAGGCCTCAGGGGAAACCAGGAGAGCTCAGACACCAGCAGGACTGGAACAGCTTCAGAGTGAAACCCCAGCTGGGCGCCAGGTCTGTGCCTCCTGCCAAACGCTTTCTGCCTCACTCGGCACTTGCTGTCACCCTCTTTTTTCTTGCAGCGTATGAATGCACCCTCCCAGCTGTGCTGGTGGTGAAGGGGGTGATTTCTCCGACACCATCTCCACACTGCTCCAGTTCCAGGGACAGAACCAGAGGAAAACTCCTGATTTCCCGTGCTGCACCTAACACCAAAACCTGGAGGAACCAGGGCTGTGCTTCTGGCGTGAATAACCCTCAATCCTCACAAAAGTGATTCCTGCCAAACAGCCTCTGAACGGCTCTGTCCTCACCCCGTCCAAGGCTCTGGGCTCTCACCTCGCCATCCTCAGGGGCGTACATGTAGTTGAAGAAGACGGGGGCTTTCTTGTTCAGCCGGTCGATGTAATCCCAGATGGATTTGTAGACCTGCTGGCTCTTCCGCTCGCCCTTCTCCTCGTACAGGAGCCCTGGGGAGCAGGCAGCGGGGAGGGGGGTTGCGGGGGGCAGGGCCCCGGGCCGCCCCCCCCCGCGGGTCCCGCTCGCCGCCCTCACCCAGCTCGATGCGCTCGTAGTCGGAGTCCAGCAGGAAGGTGCGGAACCGGTTGGAGATGTAGTGGTAGCTGAGGAACTTCAGGTAGTACTGGCTGAACTCGAACTCCATGGGGAACTGCAGGTGGATCTGCGCAGAGCGGCACGGGTGAGACCCCCTGGCACCCCCCCGGAGC